GATGACTAGCAGTCATTTGAGAGAGAAGGCATTCTCTTTGTAGGCACCATTGCGATCGCACGCATCTCTGAGATCACCGCGTTTCTAGTCTGCTATTATTTAATTGTGTTGATATTTCGAGTTTTTTTTTATGATTGAAACATTACTGGTGGCCCGAAGGCCTTTCCAGTTTCACCAGGACAGGTGAGCGAGCAAAGGCTCAGCCAGGAGGGGTGGGATTTGCTAACAACTGCCATAGCGCCTTCGAAGGAGACCTAACAACTCAAGAGCAATTGCTTCGCGAATGAATCTAAAGAGCCATTTAAAGTTTTAAATTTGGAAAAAATCTCATAACAAAAAAACTTCTTCAGCTGTTTCAATGGAGTAAACTTAATTGAAGTTCAATTAAAAACATCGAACTGTTGATGCTAATACCAAATAAAACGCATCTTTAATAATTACAAAGATACCTAAATGTCGCGTATTAAGCGAAATTTCGCTTAAACCAAATACCCTTTCCACCCTTCCGATGTACAATATAAGGAGGGATTTGATGATCTACCAGTCTGACCTTTCAATATAATTTATTTTAAACAAAAATACGATGAATTTTTATGCGTGTTTACTTTTAAACCTACTCTTCCGTTGCTGTATTTTAAACATAGTTCATCACTAGGGAATTACAACAGGAACTATTTTATCTTTGTTTCTCACGAGCCGTAGACAGTAATTACTTAAAATGTTTTATCCGAGACGTCAGAATTTACATAAGAAACTTTTTATAGATTATAAAAAATATAGATAGATTATCTATATATTAATACGTAAAGCAAAAACTTTGTACCCCTTTTTACGAAAATTGCGCGGACGGAGGAGTATGAAATTTTGCACACTTATAGAGAATATAGAGAAGAAGTGCACAATGCTAATATTTTTTAAAAATAATGCATAAAAGATACATTAAATCAATAGAGAAAACATTACACACACTACATACCATGTATTTGACGCACACACGCATGCATACTACTTATTATCAAACTTTTGTTCTTGACGTCTGTTGTCAAATTGAGAATAGATTAAATATTGTTTGTCTTTGTTAACATTTTTTATAGTGGCGAAATTTGTAATTATAGAAGTATAAAATACAATCATAACAGTGTACAAACTTACAATTCCAATTAATTATAGTCGAATTTCGACTACTGCGGGACCTCTAGTATAGTGAAATTGTTATTAGTGATGTCTTTGAAAATTAATTTCATAAATCTGCATTCCGTTTTCATTTTGTAGAAATTTTGCAGAGCTCGTTTTTGCCTTAGAGGAGTAGGCGAGTGCTCAGCTTTTATGGTAGCAATTGAATCTGGAGACCACAAACAAAATATAAATCGCAAATGCCGATGATCACTGTGCTTAGTGCGTGTTTTATAACGTTCTCGATAGCGTAAAAGTTGACTCAAATTTGTATGGAGTTGGAACAGCGCCCCTAGCGGCTTCTTCTTAGCCGCATACTTCATTGCTGAAGGTCGTGTCCCTGATAGCCCTTCGTGGCTCTTTGTACAATCAGCTTCCATTTCCTTCGGTTTTCGCCTTCTCCCAGGGCGGTCGCAACAGAGAGTCCAGTGAGCGCAGTTATCTGATCTGACCGACGGTTTGGTGGCCGGCCGGCGGGTCTTTTCCCTTTTACCTTGCCCACCACAGTCAATTTTTCAAGGTTGTCTGGTGGCCGCCGAGCAAACGTAGGCAAACACTCCAACTCCATACAAATTTGAGTTAACTTTTACGCTATCGAGAACGTTAAAAAACGCGCACTAAGCACACGGACCCGCGAGGTTGAAATCTCAACTATTTGTGTATTATCTGTTGTCAGAACTTATGAATGAATACTTCAGTTTAAAATAGACAGTTTCGTACAATTTTTTTATTTTTTTATTGCTTAGATGGGTGGACGAGCTCACAGCCCACCTGATGTTAAGTGGTTACTGAAGCCCATAGACATCCAGAACGTAAATGCGCCACCCACCTCGAGATATAAGTTCTAAGGTCTCAGTATAGTTACAACGGCTACCCCACCCTTCGAACCGAAACGCATTACTGCTTTACGGCGGAAATAGGCGGGGTGGGGGTACCTACCCGTGTGGACTCCCAAGAGGTCCTACCACCAGTAAAAACTCAGGTCCACAATATAATATTTAAGCTCAAGTAATCCACTGATCCACGTGTTTATTATAAATGAGAATATGAGTTTGTTTGTTGCGTTGTCATGTCTTAACTATAAAACCAATCATTATGAAAATTTTAACACAACTTTGTCAGGTGGTAAGAAAATATTGTGTCTATACGTATATAAGCGATATTTCGAAGGATTTTGTTTTTTGTATTAAACGTGAGCGAAACCACTAGTTAAAGTTAGTGGCATTTTCAAAATGTAAAAATACAACGAACAGAATACGTACATCTCTTCTGAACTAACCGGCAATCGCACGAGATTCTAGTTTGTTTTCACAAGAAATGAATCCGTGATGTTTAGACGTGTTTGTGTAAATATTGGATTACAAATCGACTGACTTGTTAAGAATTGTCTGTCACAATGCCATAATGAAATTTCATAAATCGAATAACAAACATTTAAAGCGTAAGATTAGAAAAAAAATACAAATTCGATTCGTAAAATCTTTTTTTTTTTTTTATAGCTTAGATGGGTGGACGAGCCCACAGCCCACCTGGTGTTAAGTGGTTACTGGAGCCCATAGACATCTACAACGTAAATGCCCCACCCATCTTGAGATATAAGTTCTAAGGTCTCAGTATAGTTACAGCGGCTACCCCACCCTTCAAACCGAAACGCATTACTGCTTCACGGCAGAAATAGGCAGGGCGGTGGTACCTTCCCGTGCGGACTCACAAGAGGTCCTACCACCAGTGATTACGCAAATTATAATTTTGCGGGTTTTTGACTTTTATTACACGATGTTGTTCCTTCACCGTGGAAGTCAATCGTGAACATTTGTTAAGTAAGTATTTCATTAGAAAAATTGGTACCCGCCTGCGGGATTCGAACACCGGTGCATCGCAACAACGAATGCACCGGACGTCTTATCCTTTAGGCCACGACGACTTCTAAATCGCGAGTGATGTTGCATCTATGTACTGTATAGACCGGATAACGCGTCACTCAGCGCAGATTAAAAAACAATGCTTTAATTATTTCCTATCTATATAGGTATATTAGCTCTGACGTCCAGCGTTAGGCATAAGCCTCTCTTAAATCTCCACTTTTTTTTTTTTTTTTTTTCATTGCTAGGTCGGTGGACGAGCTCACAGCCCACCTGGCTTTAAGTAGTTACTGGAGCCCATAGACATCTACAACGTAAATGCGCCACCTACCTTGAGATATAAGTTCTAAGGTCTCAGTATAGTTACAACGGCTGCCCCACCCTTCAAGCCGAAACGCATTACTGCTTCACGGCAGAAATAGGCGGGGTGGTGGTACCTACCCGTGCGGACTCATAAAAGGTCCTAGCACCAGTGATTACGCAAATTATAATTTTGCGGGTTTGATTTTAATTACACGATGTTTTTTTATTTTTTATTGCTTAGATCGGTGGACGAGCTCACAGCCCACCTGGTGTTAAGTAGTTACTGGAGCCCATAGACATCTACAACATAAATGCGCCACCCACCTTGAGATATAAGTTCTAAGGTCTCAGTATAGTTACAACGGCTGCCCCACCCTTCAAGCCGAAACGCATTACTGCTTCACGGCAGAAATAGGCGGGGTGGTGGTACCTACCCGTGCGGACTCATAAAAGGTCCTACCACCAGTGATTACGCAAATTATAATTTTGCGGGTTTGGTTTTAATTACACGATGTTATTCCTTCACCATGGAAATCAATCGTGAACATTTGTTAAGTAGGTATTTCATCAGAAAAATTGGTAATCGCCTGCGGGATTCGAACACCGGTGCATCGCTGCATACGAATGCACCGGACGTCTTATCTTTTAGGCCACGACGACTTCAAGACATTTCCTTCATAATAATTATATGTAGATCTCAGTTAGTGGTTTCTAACGCGTTCAGAGCCCGTCCAACTCTGTTTCAGTGATGTGCTCTAATTTAGAGTTCCTCACGTTTTTGTAATTGCGTAAATGGCTTAAAGGATCCATAGCCTATCTGGTATTAAGTAGTTGCCGGATCCTGTAGATCACGGCGTGAATGCCGCCACTCGTCTTGAAACTTAAGGCTAAAGACTTGTTCATTAACACGTATTAAGTCCGTATTTCTTACTAACCTACCCGTCTGGATGGACACTGACATCACCGTATCTCTTAATACGTACCACACCGCACGTTTTATTTATTAGGAAAAGAAAGGCTACGACGACTTCATACGAGTTTGTAAGCCAGTCGAAATTTAGTTCAGTTGAGACTTAAGCTTCACGTGTGAAGTTGGGTGGCGGTCTTAGCATCGTAATGTCACTGCTAATCGCATAGTACCAGTTGGTTCAAGCTTTAATTTTTTTAATTATTTTTTTCTTTCTTAGAAGGGTGGATGAGCTCACAGCCCGCCTGGTGTTAAGTGGTTACTGGTGCCCATAGACATCTACAGCGTAAATCCGCCACACACCTTGAGATATAAGTTCTAAGGTCTCAGTATAGTTACAACGGCTGCCCCACCCTTCAAACCGAAACGCATTACAGCTTCACGGTGGAGATAGGCGTGGTGGTAGTACCCGTGCGGACTCATAAGAGGTCCTACCACTAGTACAAGAGGTCCTACCACCAGTACAAGAGGTCCTACCACAAGTACATAACCATATACCGATTTCGCCTAACTCGAAACACTTTTATTATTGTCTGATGTTCTTATATGAATTCATGTGTTCATTTTCCTCGTAGTTCTTCATCTTCTTATTCTTCTACTTGCTACATTTCAGTATGGAGTACAGTTAAGCTATATGAGCAGCCATATTTATGTCTGGTGCTTAAAAATAGCAATGAACAATTTTATGGTTGCAGGAAGAGCGTCGACGGACGGGGAGGTATATAGCGATCCTCGTGGGCATCCTTCTCTTCATATTGGCGTTTTACCACGCCTGGGTCCGTCGCATACCTGTGGTGGCCAGTCTGGTGGTCCCGGCGCTCATAATGTTCGTGTACGTCGCGTGGGTGTTGTTCACAGCTTCGAGGGACAAACATAAGGTATCACTACATAGTATAAAACAAAGTCGCTTTCTCTGTCCCTATATCCCTATGCATGCATAAATCTTTAAAACTACGCAACGGATTTTGATGCGGTTTTTTTAATAGATAGAGTGATTGAAAAGGAAGGTTTATCTCTATAATAACATCCATTAAATAGTGGAGAAATCAATAATAAATTACAGTTTCCGAAGCGAAGCGAGGGCGGGTCGCTAGTCTTTACATAAAATTTAACTTTCATTTCTTCGAAGAGCAGATCTGAATACCTGCTCAGCTTGAAATGAGATCAAAGTTTCAATTGTATAGCTTTGCGGCTAGAATTGGCAGGAAGTCCAAAGTTTAACAAAATTGGCTTTGTGTTTGCGATAACTGGGTGATACATACCTCGACTTAATACAATTTGGTGAACCTTGAAATTTAAAGTGTAGTTCGTTTAATGATGATTGTCGTTTATTTACATAAATGAACTTGACGTAGTCTCGAAACGAGAGAAGAATTATCTATACCTATCTATCTACTTTGTCTGGCCATAAATACTGTTACAATTAAAAATAAACAAAATATTACCTTTGAATTTGGAATTTGGAATAATTTTTATATGATTATTCATTGAGTTTTCTCATTTTGGCGCCAATACATTGTACAATATTTTGCGATATTAAAATGGAGTGGGCTGATAAAGAGAACCGAATCGCTGTGATTGCATTACACAAAGTAGGTATGGAGCCAAATGCAATTTTTAAAACTCTCCATAGGCTTGGTATTAGTAAAATGTTTGTGTACCGGGCTATTAATAGGTGCAATGAGACCTCCTCTGTTTCTGACAGAAAAAGATCTGGCCGTCCATGTAGTGTTCGTACGAAAAAAAGTGGTCAAAGCAGTAAGGGAAAGAATTCGAAGAAATCCTGTCCGAAAGCAAAATATTTTATCTCGGGAAATAAAGATAGCACCTAGAACCATGTCGCGTATTTTAAAAGATGACTTAGGACTTGCAACCTATAAGAGACGTACTGGTCATTTCTTAACTGATAATTTAAAAGAGAATAGGGTGGTAAAATCGAATCAACTACTGAAGCGGTACGCAAAGGGAGGTCATAGAAAAATTTTGTTTACGGATGAGAACATTTTTACAACTGAGCAACATTTTAACAAACAAAATGACCATATTTATGCTCAAAGCTCTAAGGAAGCTTCCCAATTGGTGGACAGAGTGCAACGTGGGCACTATCCGACTTCAGTGATGGTTTGGTGGGGTATTAGCTATGAAGGAGTGACTGAGCCATACTTTTGTGAAAAAGGTATCAAAACATCGGCACAAGTGTATTAAGATACCATTCTTGAGAAGGTAGTGAAGCCCCTTAACAACAACATGTTCAAAAATCAAGAATGGTCCTTCCAGCAAGACTCGGCGCCAGGTCATAAAGCTCGGTCTACGCAGTCTTGGTTGGAAACGAACGTTTCGGACTTCATCAGAGCTGAAGACTGGCCGTCGTCTAGTCCCGATCCTAATCCGCTGGATTTATGGTCAGTTTTAGAGAGTACGGCTTTCTCTAAACGCCATGATAATTTGGAGTCCCTAAAACAATCCGTACGATTGGCAGTGAAAAATTTTCCCATGGAAAGAGTGCGTGCTTCTGTTGATAACTGGCCTCAACGTTTAAAGGACTTTTTACTCTTTAAATTGTTTTATATTTATGTATTAAACTAACACACTGTAAAAGTAATAAATGTTATTTGCAATAGAATTTTTTTCCTTTGTCTCAGTATTTATGGCAAGACTAGGTATATATATAAAAATGAATTGCTGTTCGTTAGTCTCGCTAAAACTCGAGAACGGCTGGACCGATTTGGCTAATTTGAGGCACTACGAAGTTTAGGGTTAGCTAGTCTGAAATAAAATTTTAGTGTTAACGTTAATGTTAAGTGAAACAAAAAAGAATATCAAAGGAGAAGGAAAATATGTTTACTAGTGTTTACTTGTCGGAATTTGAAAGATTTTTATTCAAAGTCTCTATCGTGGGTCCCCTCCGTTTGTGGAGGCCTCGGGGCTCTAGCCTCAGTTGCTCTCCCCTAAATGCGGCCCTGTAGTTAACTATTTTCAATGATTTTAACGAAAGAAATAACAGTGAGCACATTAATGTTCCGATTACAATTCCTATACGTCCCTGTCTATGAACAAATAAATGTAAAATAATGGGTTAAACAAAAAACCTTCTTTGCTTAGAGGTTCCAAATTCTTCCATTTCTTAATTTATAGCCAAAAATATATAAAGAAATGGTTTTGCAGCGTAGAGATAGATCGAACGAAATAAAATATCCACTCTCCACTCAGCGAGGAAATAAGTTTTATAGACTAAGTGCAGTCGGATATTTCCGGAGCGCGGAGTGTTGGATAGTGTATTAGTTGATGGGTGTATTAAAAACTTTTCAGTATTACCCAGAAGCCGTAATTTCACTGGTACTTTCAGTACAAGGAGCGTAACACGAAGCAAACATATGTGATTCAATTAAGTATCATATATGCTCTAAAACATTTATTTACGGTTTTATGAGTCGTAGATATGATTTAAGTTAGTCCTACAATACCTAACAGATTTGTGGCCGCGAAGACGAAGTAGCTTTCAGTCGATTTAATGGATTTGATGATTTAAAAACACATGTACCTACCTATAAGTCATGATACGTGAGAAAAAACGGAATAGGTTGGGGAAAAAGTCTTTTCGCATTATAGTATGTATGAACTTGTAATAAAATCTCTTTGGCTATATTATTTGTATCTGGCTGGTTTTGATATTATTAAAAGTTTAAATTTTAAAGAAGATAATTTCAAATTCAAATTAGGAAAATGTGTCATTTTTATTTATTTTTCGTACTGTCAAGATGAGTGAGTCTAATGAATAAATTCGATACATTTTAAAATTTTACTACAAAAAAGGAAAAATGCAACGCAAGCCGTGAAAAAAATTTGTTTGTTGAAAAAAAAATGTTTATGGACCTAGTGCAGTGTCTGTGAGGGTAGCACAAATTTGGTTTAAGCGTTTTCAATCCGGAAATTTTGATGTCAAAGATGCACGTCGCTCTGGTCGCCTGTTTATTACGAATAAAATGGATGCTATTTTTTTAAAAGTGGAGCAAAATCGGCTTAACAGTAGTTACGACGTAGCTGAAGAGCTGGGAATTGACCACAAAACAGTTTTGGCGCATTTTAAAAAAACTGGGTACACAAAAAAGCTCGATATTTGGGTACCTCACGAGCTCACTGAAAGAAACCTAATGATCCATGTACTCATTTGTGATTCTTTATTACTACGTAATGAAACCGAACCAATTTTTGAAGAAGCTGATAACTGGTGATAATAAGTGGATCATATACGATAAGAACGTGTGAAAAAGGTCGTGGTCAGGCTTCACAGACTGTGGCGAAACCCGGATTAACTCGCAACAAGGTGATGCTGTGTGTGTGGTGAGATTGGAAGGGCATTATTCATTATGAGCTATCACCACCAAGCAGGAACATCGATTCTGAACTCTACTGCGAACAATTGAGAGAAAGCGGTCGGAATTAATCAACAGAAGGGGTGTGGATTTTCATTATGATAACTCTAGACCTCACACATCTTTAGCCACTCAGCAAAAATTAAGAGAGCTTGGCTGAGAGGTGTTAATGCATCCGCCGTATAGTCCGGACCCTGCCCTTCAGATCTCCACCTGTTTCGGTCTCTTCAGAATTCTTTAGGCAGTGTCAGGTTAACATCACGAGAGGACTGCCAAAACCAATTGTCGCGGTATTTTGATCAGAAGCCCCAAAATTTGTATAGCAATGGGATCATGTCCCTACTTGCAAGATGGCAGAAAGCTATCGAACAAAATGGTACCTACATACTTTAGTTAAATGTAAATAAACTATATAAAAAAAAAAAAGTGCGTGCGTACAAAGTACACATGTCAGAAGTGAAACTTTTTTGGCGAACTAATTTATAAGTCTTGCTTATATTTATACAAATCTAAAACTTTAGATTTCCGAGACTTAGAGGAAGGAAAAAAGGAAGATATGTTCCCGCCAAAAGTCTGTCCAATGTCAATCTCAAACCTCAGTGTTAACAGTCACATTATGTTTAGATTTCTAAATTGTAAATGACTAATATTTCGCCAATTGAATTGACTAATTTAATTTCATGCTATTTGATTAATGTTCCAAATTCTTTTCATTTCATTTCAATTCCTATTAACATTTTTCACAAAAAAAAAAAAAAAAATTAGGCTGTATGGTATGATACATTTGCCTTTCCGGTTGGAAAAATACAACAACTACTACTACTGACATTTGACAAGTACTTAATTTCAATAGTAGTTTGATGTCACTTCCGTTGCATACCTGCGTGACGTTCTGTAAAAAATTTACCCCCATGCGCCTAAAGAAGTTTCACTTCAAAATGTTGTGAATTTTCTTAAAAATGCGGAGAAACTTTTTCCCCAACCTATTATAACATTTACGTGATAATGGATTTTTCAAGCATAGTTAGTATTGATGTAATGAAGTTACTAAATTAAAGGTACTGTTAGGATTTAAACCTGCGTTTTCTAGTGTAATTATAATATTTCTGACGTTTCGAATACCTTACAGTTTTCGTGGCCACGGATAACTGTCCGACGAGTCGCAAAATTAGTTATAATTATGTCTACGAGTTATGAAAGTCGAAGGAAATGCTTATGAAAACTTACTTGATAGATAATAATAAAATGGCTGGTTTCATTGAGCGAATAACATTTTCGTACAAAGATCAAATTGAACGCATGAAGATTTTAGACGCTAATATGTATAAAAAATGCGTTTTAAAATTACTCTCTAGGATAATTAGCATCTATTCTGAGTCACGAACCAGCACGCAGCTATCCACTGAATTCATTATGACGCTATCCTAACCATGTAAACTCGTTTAATTGATTCTTCAATCGGTGATTTCGACCAGGATTTAAGGAACATTCTGGAAGTTTATTGT